TTCCTGTATGGTGAATCGGAATCCCAAAAGGGTGAATCCGGTCTCCATTCCTGAGGAGGATCCTTTGGCTTCCACGGGTGGGTCAGTTTCCCCACTCTCGAAAAAAGCTCCTCAGTTCCTGCACGTGTAGGTGACCCGACCGAGCTCGTGCGGCCAGCCCGACACTAGTGCTCCACCATCGCTCAGAAACCACTAAAAACACGAAAAGCTTTACCTTTTGGCGTGGGTCGATTCGGCCTTGGTTTAGCTCCCGGTGGTCTTCTCGGCCATCCCGCAACTCCCTAGCTTACTTGAGATTCAGATGATGATTTTTAAACTTACAAACTGATTAATGAATAAAAATAAAAAAAGATTGAAAGAAATAGGGGAAGAAAAACGAAAAAGACGAACATTTTACCTCGCTTGCCTCGGTCTCTGCTGTCATACGACGTCTCAGCCCGATTCTCTTCCTTCTTTTTCCTTTCGACTCGGCTTCCACTGCTCTCCCACCTCTGCCTCTCTCTTCTTCCTTTTTCTTTCGTCGCGACGGCCGTTCTTGACTCCTCTTTCCCTTTTTCACTCAGCCACTCTTTTGTTCTCCTTCCTCTTCTCCTTCTCCAGCCTCTCTCCTCCTTTCCTCTCTTTCTTTCTTCCTCTCAGCTTCCCCCGCGCGACAATCTCCTCTCATTTTCTCTCCTCGATCGGCTCATCTCTCCTTATCCCTTTCTCTTTTTCGGTTACTCTCATAAATGAAAAGAATCCCTAATTTTTCCCTTTTTATAACCGTCCTCCTCAACTATTGGATCTCATAAGGCTTGATCTGAGCCGTTCATCTTCAATAAAACCTCAGTCGTCGGATCACTCAGACAATTCGATCATAACCGTCCATTTTTCTTAATTTTCTTTGTCCCTTTCCACTTCCATTTATTTATATTTTTACCCCCTTTTTTTCTTACCTATTTTCATTTAGGTAATCGAAATTAAATAAAAACCCCAAAATTTTAAATTTTATTTCATTTAAATCCCAATCTCAATTTATTTATTTATTTATTTACTTACTCTTCTTATTTTATTTGGGGTTGGATGTTATAATTTAACCAAAGAATGGTTTGTAATGACTTAAAATAAATAATTTGAAATAAAAAGATACAACATGAATGAATTACATGACATGAATCACTGTGAAAGAATATGATAATAAATGAAACAACAAGAAATAACATAACCATAAGAAATAATAATAAATGAGATGGCGTGAAACAACATGATGAAAGATGATATCAGAAAATAATAAAATATGAGATAATATAGCGTAAAAAGTAACACAATATGACAAAAAATGACTTGAAAAGAAATAACATAATATAACATGGAATGACATAAAAATGGTACAAGATGAAGCAACACAATAGAATACGATATGAAACAATATATCTACACAAAATAATACAAAACATGAACACTACTATATGAAGAGATGTAGTTATAAAAGGCCACAATACAAGGTGACATGATAGAAAATGATACAACACGACAGGAAACAAAATGTCATGACAAAGAATAAGATGATACTTAGAGATAAAATATAACGTAAATTAATATGAAACAACACTATAGGAAAAGATGAAACAAACAATTGAAATAATATGATATAAAATATGATATAAAGCAGCAAAATACAACATAATAAAAAATGATAGAAATCGATAGAAGCCATGTGACAGGAAAACAACTTGACACAAAGAAAATCAACATGACATGCTTCATGTTTTGTAATGTTTTAAAATTTTTAAAACTTCTACGTGAAGTTCATAATTATTATAAATCATCTAGCTTGTAAGTTGATAAAACTATAATGTTACTTGAAGTACTAAAACTTAAAATTATATGAAATTTGTAATTATTATCGATTATTTTGAGTATGATATTTTTATATGAGCGAATGTGTATTTATATTGTTGTTATTAACATATTCAATTGTAAAATATTTAATAACGACTATAATAAATTCTTGTAATCAATAATAATTAATATATATTATTCTTATTTATTTAATTTATGATCATAAATATTCCATATTGTCTATGATATATTGAATTATAAGTTATTTAATAATGAATATAATAAATTTTATAATTAATAATATTTTAATGTACTTAATGTCTTTATATACTTATGGAGGTTGTATACCTACGAAGGTCGTCGGAGCCAAACAAATTTACTCTTTGTTTTACAAAGACTGTGTTAAGGGGTATGTTTAGATTTTGTTCAAAACTAAATTTACCTTCCAAGTAGATGCTCCTATGGACTGACAACAGAGACTTGAGACATATTGCATCTCATTTCATTCAAACAAAATGAGTTTAAGTTGGATTCAAACCGACCAACAGGAATTGTTTTGGCATCAAAAGAAATTAATGTGTGGCTCCCAACACCCCAAGAATTTGTTTGCCCCCAATATTTATGCGTAGGCCAGTCCGCGTGGAAAAATGAATTGATTGCTTAAAATTTCATGTAATATAAAAGATTTAATTTATTGCTATTATTATGTTCTGGAATTCTCCCTATTTTCTATGTAAAATTACAAAAGTAGGAATTGGAAAACACAATAATCATGAAAGAAAAAGTCATGAAGAAAATTAGCTAAGATGCATGTAACCAAAATAATACCTTAAAACTCTTATATAACACAAGAATAATGAAATTGAATGAGTGTCCAAAGTAAATTATTTATACTGAATTCATTATCCCATTTCTTACTTTTCAACACTGCCCAGTTAATTCTAGTCTCCCACCCTAAATTTTAGCCTTTACTATTCCCTTAACTTATATATTGATATCTTGACTGTATCTGAAGTTCATTGCACGGGAAATCCATACTCATAACCAGAGAACACTGGCGGATTGAGCTATCTTCAATTTTGCCAAAAACATCAACTTTCCTGTCTGAAATGAGTGAGATGAAGACAACCGCAAACCAAAACATACACATGAAAAATACTAATCGCTTGATACATTATCAGCACGGGTAGATTACAAATTCTCGATTCTCAGGCTTTCACGCAGCAGTTGAAGTAGCTAAAAAAGCTCCTCCTTGTCTGCCAAAGAAATGAAAAACCAGATTAGCCAAGCTATATCGTGTTCTGGGATAACGCATTTTACTAAGAGAAAATGGCTTGTTAGAGATACACAATAAAAGCATTCCCTCCTTCCTGTTGGCATCAGATCCATTTCTTATCCTAAAAGGAAAAAATCAGTTCAGTTTACAGCTTCAAGCATTAAATGATCCCTAGTGTTTTGTGTTACTCATGCAGAGATTTGCAGTTTTCTCTACACTACAATTTTTCATTCTTAGTTCCTACACTGAGACCGGCTGCTTTCTGAGCTACCAGAGTTAACAGCAACCGTTCATTTGGCTCAAGTCATATGGGCTGTTGCATGTGCCCCAGCTGCACCTACACATGCATTCCTTCATGCTCGGGGCACACATCCCTATCATGAGACTCCTCCATCAAAATTTTCAAATAAAAAAATAAGTTAATAGTTGTGGTACCACCAAGGCCATGTTTAATCAGGCTAAGAGAATTGAAGAATCCCATGGGACCATCATTGCTAATTCTTTTTGTAAGAAAATCCCGTGGGACCATTAAATGATAGAATATATAGTGCTTCAAATTAGAAGCAATAAGCAATTCTTTTAAAGGAAAATTCGAGACAAAACCTTTAATAAGCTTATCAATCCCAAAGGCCCTGAACGAATATGGCAGCTAATGATTATTGGAATTTAATTCAATAAGGATTTACAGGATTCAAGTCATTAGGAATCAAGAAATGTCCCAAACATCCAAAAACATGCATCAAGCATCAATCTGAAGAACATCAAATTTAAGACCACCAAAGATATAGGTTTTTTAAATTAAATAGCTGCAAACTATTTTCTCTAACGATAACTTAAATGGGAAAATTATCAAATTGTTAATTGAGCAAAGAACCTAGACTAAGTTAATTCTTCTGCCTCTACCAATCTAACTTACCACATACAAACTTTAAAGTTATAGCGACTTGGTAATGTTCAAATAGCAATCATTAGATCCGCAATATGGCTAGGTCAAATCAACTTAGTTGACATGGCAGCATGTTCTTTTGTTGCAACCAAGCTTACTGAGATGTATTCAACTTCAATAACTAACTACCAGGTGCTCCAAGAGCAAAAATGCAAAAATTATGCAAACAATTATTTCAATTCATATCTTTATCAGACAATTGTGAACTGTAAGTGGACCAATCACATTTATATGTTACTCTCACTCCCTTGTTTTCCGTTGAATTTCTAATTTTTTTTTTTTCACAAAACCCTAATAATTTATTCAACAAGACTATTTTTTTTTTTCTTCAGGCCAAGGCAGAGGACAGGTCAGTGGCTACTAATAACACAACTAAGCAATATCCTACCGCCCAAGAACATGGATGTCATTATAATTAATGATATTTCTTATGCAGCTGTTCTGGTAAAAGCTAGCTTAGCAGTTATTAAGAATGTACTACATACCTACCAAAACTAATAAAAGGACAAAAAAAGTTTTATGAAGGAATCTTACAGTTGTAGAATGATGGGCTTCATGATAATGGGGGTTATTAGCACTATAGGCGGTATTTGCATCATTGGTGGGTGGTTTAATGAGTTCCTCTTCATTGCCAAGACTGGCCCTTGAGACATCCCTTTTGTTCTGCTTCCTCATTTCCCTGATTTTTGAGAAATCAAGGGAGTAGTCTGGCACTTGTCCCTTCTGATCCCAGTCTCCAAACTGAGGCACTGATAGCCATGGTGTGTTTTTCTGTAAACAACATATGAATGACAAAGAGTTCATATGTAGTAGATCAAGTCAAGAAGATCTTAACTGGCGATCAATGAGTTTACCCAACTAATCTATCAAAAATACCATTGAAAAAGTAGAAAAGAAAATGGATTTTTAGACTGTAGATTGATTATATAATATAAGAGTAGAGCCATTAACAAAGTGTAAAACAAAGACAAACACGGAAAATTCTCGAGTTCCTAGAAACAATCAAGTTGAAAATCATTCTTCTGTGAATACCTAAACAATTAGGAGTGGGATAGAAATAAAGCAAGAAAACTCTGACCAACTGTGTAACGGAAATTCAAATATAGAAAAAGAAAGTAAAGAGACAGCTCTGACTGTTCCTAAGCTTTGAAAAAGTAAGCTATCTATGGAAGAAAAAAGTGGATCATAGAAGGAATAGCAGAACATAATAAAGCGTAAATGGAAATTTCAGCTAAATTAGATCCAAAATTATTCCGAATCAAGATGAATCAACAAATAATCCCAAAAGGGAGGAAAAACAAAACCTCATATAACGGTATAAGAGCTAAAATCAAGAACCAGAGCGGGCGTAGCAAGTAAAATGAATAAAAATAGAAGGATTAACGTATTTCCTATGCACAAGCCCAAATCACTCAATTCTGAAATTAAAATTGGCTGTTCGGTGTTGGAGAAAGTAGAGGAGATTTTAGGGAGAAAACAGAAGAAACCTTGGAAGGAAAACCAGGAAACTTGTTTGTAAAAACCCAAACCACATAAGAAACGCAACTTTCATAAAGTTGCCTCATGTTTCCACCCAGCTTTTCTTTTTCCCAGCAACCAAACAACATAGAATAACAGAGAGAGAGGGAGAGAGAGTCACCTCCTTAGAATCTTCCATGTAAATGAAAAAGGAAATTGATGAAGTTAGAAGGTATGACTAGTGGGGAAGAATAACAGGAATTAATAGAAAGTATTGAAAAGGAAGGTGGTGCTTACAGACATATATGCATATAATAAATGAATATATATATATAAGGGGAGAGAGAGAGAGAGAGAGAGAGAGAGAGAGAGAGAGAGAGAGTATATCGTGTATGGTTAGCTTGCAAAGGGCCTTTCCACAACAGCAACCATGGAAAATTTACAGCACACTGACAGCTACGATCGTGTTTGGGCTTCTGACGCCTCGGTGACGAAGAATTCAGCTTTTATCCATTTTCGTTTCTCTTTACTAAATTGTCCTCGTATTTTGTCTATAACGACGTAAATGCCACGCTTAATAAAATTGTTTGTGAATAATTTGTATTTATAATATTTTAATTATATAAATAGTTTGAATACATAATATATTTTAGATATAATCATGTTTTAATTTATATGTATTAAATATATTTATAAATATTTTAAATAAATAAATTTTTAATCAAACTTTTTATTAATTTTGTAGGGTTTAATTTTATTTAAATTTTAATTCATTTAAATTTATTTTTTTTTAATTTTTTTGTATACGTTTCAATCTTATATTTCTTTAAACGAAATAAATTTTAATTTTAATTTAATATTAATTAACTTAAGTAATTAAATATTTTTAATTAAATCAGTTTATACTATTTTAAGAATCACAATCAATTATCTAGTGACGAAAAATTTTTTTTGTAATGATATTTAATTATTTTATTATTATTTTCTATTTTATCATATATTTTAGATGTCAAAATTCTAAACCATCACTTGTGCTTTCTGTATTATTTTAATTTTTTTAAATTATTTGTTATATTAAAATTTTAGTCTTTAACTTTTATTATAATTATTCTTTTGAGTTATGATATTTTTACAAAACTGTAAAGTTTTTTATATAAAATACCAAAAAAGATATTTTGTAACGCCCGGGGAAATTGGAAAAAAAAAAAAAAAAAACGTGCGTGCCACGTCAGCAGGCCTGGCCAACCAGGACCTGCCACGTGGCAAAACCACGTCTACCGGGGACGGGCCACGTTGGCGATCCGCGTGCGCGCGATCTGACGGTCCAAATCAATCGCGCGCACGGACGGCCCAGATTAAATCAAAATGGACGGCTGAGATCAAAAGGCAAAAGGGTATAAATAAGACCCCCACACCAGACCCCAAACCCTAGCCGCCTGCCCTCGCCGGAGAAGACGAACCAGAAGCCGACCGCCGGCACCCGCCGCCGCACCGGAGGAATTTCCGACCGCCGATCGAGGTAAATTTCATACCCCCGACTCGTTTTTCCACGCTGATTTCCCCAGTGGCCAAATCGGAGCCAAAATCCCGGTCAAACGGCCGAAAAACACGGCCGAAAGCCAGCGGCGCCGCCGCACCCCTTCTCGGTTTTTGCCTCCGATGAGGCCCTTCCCGGTCTCCGTTTAATGCATTTTTTATATCACCGTGATCACCATTCTTTTCTCTACAGGTTGATCGGAGCTGAATCACCAAAACACGAACTTCACTGGAGAGCCGCTGCACCCGAGAGCACCGCCGCCGGTAAGCTTCGGTTTTCCGTAAATTTTCGGCCCCCCGAGGGCCGTAGGGTTGTTTTATCGCAGGAACCAATGCGAGTGTGGCCGAAAACGGCCAACCCAAGGCAAACCGCCGCCGCAAGCGGCGGCGCCGTCGCCGGAGTTGCGATATTGGCCGAAAGGGGCCCTGGGCCTAATTTGGGATTTTTTTTGGAACACGTCCAGGTACCAGTAGTGCGTTTCAGTTCCCCGAGAAAAATTCAGGGAAAATTAGGGACAGCCTGTAGGCGCACTGTGAAGCCGTGTTCGGACCCCGAAACGTGTAAGGACACCTCACCCTATTTCCTATCACGGTTTTAAAGTTCAATAAATGATAAAATGGTATTTCATGAATCAACGAGTGTGTGAAACTGCTTAAGGTCGCTAATGGAGCCCGAGTCTAGTGTGTTTGTCGGTTAACTGTTATTTGGCCTGTTTTACAGTTTTAAATGCAGCATGAGGTTCGATGTTTTCATTTTATAGTTTCGTGTGCATATTTTACTGTTTTATTGATTATGGGTTGAATGACCGGGATATTGATGCTGTATGTTGTCTGTTTGGCATAAATTACTGTTTTGTTTGTTTGTATGTGGATTGATGATACTGACTGAGGGAAAAGAGAATGATAAATTATGTAAATGGGTAATTGTATAATGTGGTCAGCCTGACTAGATATCCTGGGAGATGGTGGACGGACCGGGTCCGTAGAGAACCCTACCGGGATTGTGGTCTCCCATATCGGACGGGGTATGGAGATCTTATGTGTTTTGGCGCCCATACCGAACGGGGTATGGGGACGGCCCGTTTCACCCTCATACCGGACGGGGTAATGAGGTCTATGTTTTGGCGCCCATACCGGACGGGGTATGGGGACGGCCCTGGAATATGATTTCAAGTGCTAAGGGTTAACGGGTAGCGGGACCCCTATGGATCCCCATGGATACTAGTGGGCTGGTAAATGAGGAAAAATATGTTGTGTGATGATTGAATACGAAAAGCTTGATAGGTATTATGTTTATACAGTTTATATATATGGTTTTCATGATAATGATGCTGTTATTGCTTTCGTATATTGTTTTAATAAATCTCACCGAGGTAAGTAAATGGTAAAGGTTTTATTATTGATAAAAGGATTTGTTGTAAATTATGCTCCATTGGTCTTTTTGTGTTTTCTACCCACCTTTACCTCCGTGACGGTGATATATCGTGATGTCTTTACTGGGCTAGTGTAGCTCATTCCTTATTTAATCATTTCAGATCAAGAGGACATCGTTCCCGAGCCGGTTCCGCAGGAGGACGACGAAGGGGACGCCTAAAGACTCCATAGTCACATTCGTAGCTTTTACGATCAAATTTCTCCTTTAGGTAGTTTGATCTTTTATATTTTGTGAGCACGTTTTTGGTTTTAGTGTAAGGGATGTTATTCAAATTTTGACTTCGCTTCCGCATTTGATATTTATAATATAAATTCTATTTTAAATTACCTGGGCTGCTACAAAAAATGAAAATATTACTAATATTACTAAATTGAAGTATAAGACAGCATGTACGTCGAACTAAATTATGCTGCAAAATTTGATTTTCTACAAGTGAAATTAAAAAAAAACGAAGAGTTTATTGGTAATTACTCTAATATCTTTCGCAAAATATTTAAACTCTAAAAGGTGGTCATTTTCTTTTATAAAGGTTGTAAATAGAGAAAATATTTTATACTCGATTTCACTCAATTCGACTAATCCGAATTAAATCCAATACAATTTATTTCGTTAAATGTAAATTTTGATTTGCGAAAAAAGAGAAAAGAATCGAAATAAATTCGGGTTTAATATTTCAAAATTTGTTTGAACTTGACTCATTATATATATATATATTTAATTTTATATTATTATAAATATATTTTTATGTATATTAATAAATATTATATATTATTAAATGTAATTAACTATACATTTATAAATATATTTTAACCTTTTAAATACAAATACAATTATATTCATTTAATACAATAAAGTGATCGGGCTGGATGGACTCTTGTCAGATTACAATTCTTAATTGTAAATCAATAATTAAATGTATGTTCTTTTTTATTTTTCTTAAACTTTTAGGCAAATCAATTGTAATTTAGTTCCTTCAAATACAAGGTTTCTAAAATAAAATAATGTAAGCTCTAAAAAGTTACCTTCTATAGTAAAAGGAGGTGCTGTTACAATTTATTAAATCCACAATTTATTTTTGCCTATTCAATTATTATATTTTAATTATTTAATATCTAAAATTTGTTTGTAATTTTTATATTTGAATATATAATACATGATTAAACTCTCTTTTTTTTTTTTTAAATTTTTAATCACATGATTGATCGTACTCTTGCTTGTTAAAAGAATAATTTGATAAAATATTTAACTTGAATTGAAAAAGAAATTAATTAAAATTAAATATTATTATTGATATTTTATTGTTATTGTACTTTGATTTACATTTCGTAAAATTAAAATCTAAATTAATTCAACATGTTTCATAATAACTTTTACATAAATCAAAATTACAACATACTTTTTTTAATAAAATTGCTTAAACCAATATACCATCCTTGTCAACTTGCATGCATATAGCAAATTCTATCTACCATTATCTTCCTTTAAGTGTTAATAAAGTAGGTTCCATGTGTACTCCAATTCACTCTCCTTGTCATGCTGAGAATTGGGTAATGGGATGATGGATGTAAGGCTTTCTTTTTATAGTTACACACCATTTCTTCCCCAAAACACCATTTCCATTCTCTCTCTCTCTCTCTCTCTCTCTCTC